AAAAAAAAAAAAACCCGTTAATCCCTGGACTTTTGATGACTATTCAATATTCCAAATTTTTTTTACACTAGTTGCAATTATATACAGAAGTTATAGAACCAAAAAAATTTCCTAACTGTATTATTATAATTATTAAATGGTATTAGGCATTAGCGTTATTAGCTGTGTGCACTATTGTTACTTGAACTGTCATCGTCACATGGCGGATAATCATAATTATTATAACAACCATCTTTCACTGCCATACGATCCCAGTCAGCGAACAACAGTCGACATGGTAACTGCTCGGGCATCACCGTATGATGGGTTATTAACATTGGTATTGATGGAAAATATTTGTTGAAACCCTGGAAAAAAAGCATTTTTTTCTGGTGGAAGAAAATTTGAATAAATTTACATTCTGAATTCTACATCAACAATAGGTGATTATATAAACTGGGGCCAAATAAATGAACCAAAATATTGTCAAGAAAAAGGTTGGAAAAAGAGCAGTAAGATTGAAAATGCGACTTAATTATTCAAAAATGTATATCATAGATCTTTTAACTGTAATGATAAAAAAAATAACACTAATATCAATAACAGAAAATAATAATAATAATAATAATAATAATACTGAAAGATGTTGAAAATACTGTTGAAGAGGATTAAATGCCATCATCATTAACAGCAACATCGAAAACAAACACACTGGAGGGTTTTAATTCAAGTACTTTTTTTTTTGTTTTGTTTTGTCTCTGTTTCGTCTGGAAGAAATTTTTCAATATATTTTTCCTTTCTTTTTTTGCAACAATTACCTTAATTTTAAAACCGTTTTCGTTTCGAATGATCAAATAGTGCGAAACACCAGTTGGATTATGTGTAAACGGTACACGAACACTAAGCGCCAGACATCGACGTTTAGATTCCGAAAAACGTAATATGAATGCACCTTCCGGTTGTGATAATAGGCATTTCAAGATAAACTCCCTAAAATTGAATAAAAAATAAGACTGCAAAACAACCGCTTTAAATACATTGGATACTGTAGGTTTATATTAGGAAAACAAAGTAAAGCCTATCTGAAAATTGCTTAAACTGTTTTCGGAAGCTAAAACTAACTGTACCGATTGTGCAAATGTGATGTATGTTAAAAAAAACAAAAATGAAAAAATCAACAAGAGACGTTTATCCACTATTATATTTTGCTATTTTGCTATTACATAGTGCCTATCAGTAGCAGTTAAACAGATACCAAAACCATATGAGCAGAAGGTGGAAAAAAAAAACGATGAAAAAAGAAGAAAAACATGATTCAGGTCATCTAATCGTATATGTTATATCAGAAATTAACGTTGTTTTCAATTTTTTTTTTTACAGTTGTTATGCAACCAAAATAAAAAATTTTTTTTTTGGTCTTTCATTAAAATAAAGCAACAACTAATGACAGCAATTACAGTTATTATAACAATTAGGAGAGGTTTATCTGTAGTATAATGTTTGCATATATTATCACCAGTTGTTAACCATTCACAAATAATAGAAGATTTCAGGTTAAAAAAAATAGCCCAATCTATGTGCATACGGTTTTTACTGCCGGTTAAGTTCCAGAAAAAACAACAAAAAATGGAATTAAAAAGATTTA